TTTTTTTTTTAACTGAGAGTTTGATCCTCTTTTCTGTTCAGTTTTTATGATTGCATCATAGATGTGCATATGTGATGAAAGGGGGAAGTGGGTGAAGTAAACAAAACAGTGAAAAAACCCAGGTGTGATTACCTTTATGCAAAAAAAAAATTTTGTGTGGGCTGGGGTTGTGGCTCAGTGGTAGAGTGCTTGCCTCACGTGCGTGAGGCACTTGGTTCAATCCTCAGCACCACATAAAAATAAATAAATAAAAGAGACACTGTGTCCATCTACAACTAAAAAATATTTTTTATATTTATGTTTTAGTTTTAAGTGGACATAACATCTTTATTTTACATTTATGTGGTGCTGAGGATTGAACTCAGTGCCTCAAGCATGCTAGGTGAGCATGCTACTCGTCAGCCACAACCCCAACCCCTAAAAAAATATTTTTTAAAAATTTATATAGGGGCTGAGGTTGTGGCTCAGTGGTAGAGTGCTTACCTCACATGTATGAAGCACTGGGTTTGATTCTCAGCACAGCATGTAAATAAATGAATAAAATAAAGGTCCATCAAATATATATAGTAATAACAAAATTTTGAAATTTTAAAGCATAACAGAAAGATGAAATTTAAAATTCACTATCCCACAGGGGTCCTGAAGACTCCCTAATAAAATAATATATACAAAATATATAGAAAAAATATAATTCTAAATCCTTTTAGAATTCTAAAATACAAGGAGGAATTTTTCTCATACTCTAATGTTACAGAGAGAGCAACAAAATCACAATAAATGTCTAACCCACAGTCTCAAACCTGGTTAGTGACCATGCTGATGCTCTCTGCAGATCTGATTTCAGAGAAGGGATTCCTTTCGCTGCATGTAATTTGGAAATCCAGGAAATGCACAGGGCTAAGAAACGGCAGGTGCTCAGACACCAAAGACCAACACAGTTACCTAAGCTAGTTTGTTGCAGAAGTGGAGGGTGGGGCAAGGGGGGTTCAAATATGAAAGAAAAGCACAAGGCAGGGAAAACCAAGTGTTCAGTTTAAAAATCACATAGGCCCAGCATCATCTTGAAGAGACAAAACACTAATGAAAGGGATTCTTTGTTTAAATAGGGACGAAAAGCAATCCAAGAACTAATGGGAACCATTTATGATTTGGGGACAAAGGGATTATTTAGGGCTGAAATGGAAACTTCTTGTAGATGGGATGCAACTCACTGTCTCATTCTACCAAGACAGTTTTTTAGGGAGGTTACTGTCACCCTAAATTAGGCAGATTGGAATTATTAAAACATAAAAATGCAAAAACTCTTAGGTGTAATTGACAAAAGGCAGTTTGTATATGTTTTAAAATGAAATGGGAACAAACCACTGCAATGGAAGCTGTAGACATTCTTAACTGTGAGCTCACTCTATAAGAACAGCTCCAGGGGAAACCATTGCCTGGTGAGAATCTGCCAGTAGAGTGTGCAGAAAGGGCGGACTCACAAAATTGGTAAGCAAGAGGTTGCTGAGGCAACAATTTCTGATTGAAAAGTGCATTTTTGGTGTATTGAAAGGATAGAAGGGTAGTTTCTCACCATGACAATTTGGATGTCTCTCAGATCTCAAATTCAACATTTCTAAAACCAAATTCTCATTTTTTCCTCCCTTGTCCTGTTTCTTCTATCATCAGTGAAAGGAAACTCTACCTTCTAGCTTCTCAGGTCAAAAATCTTGGTATTGTCTTTGACTTCTCTTTTGAGAAATTTTGAAAATTTGCATAGTTTTTCTCAAAATTCTTACCCGTTCTATCAAATCCTGGTATTTTCACCTTCAAAATATATCTAGAGTTAATCTCTTCTCACCACTTTCTCCAAGACCACCTTGTTCCAAGTCAGCAACATACATATGAGGCTCAAGCAGCACTCATAGAAGTTGTGGGCTTGACCTCAAACAGTAAATCATATTTTAAGCAGCTGCTTGGGTCTGGAGTACCAAAGGATGGCCACAGTGGTCTCAGGAAATCTTACAAGGTGAGATTCATTACATTAGTCTTTGACATCCATCCATCGCATTTGAAATATCGAATGGAATGCTTCAACAAGATCCCTGCATTAAAGACTGATTGATGGCCTTTGCCCACACAAGTCTAGACAGTAAGTGGTTTGATAGCCCTTTGGAGGGCAGTGAAGGTTCCTGGTTCATACTTGAGAATCCTGACAAGGAGATAGCAGGGAACCAAGGCAGCAGTATGGATGCCCCTGGTGTGACCCTTCAGAATAAATCTGGGATAAAGTAGTCAGAGGAAAACAAATACATGATGTCAAGACAGAGCAGCGTTTAAGAATTAGGTAATGGTCACGGGGATCAGGACCAAGAAAGCACCCAGCAGGCCAGTCGGTAATCACTGGCTCCATGAAAGCCTGATCCACTGCGATCTGCTGTGTCCAGTGGACTATGGAGGTCCTCAAGACACCATCACTCCCCACACCCCCAGGTCCTCAGGGGAAAGTTGGAGGAACCCAAATCTTTCCGGAACCTTGAAAACCACCATCGTGAATAGGTGAGTGAGGAGGGTGGATGAAGGAGTGAATTGGCTGTGTGATGACAATTTCTTTTTGAAGAAAGGACGTGCAAAGTAGCAAAAATCGAGACACAAAAAGGAGCTAACCATGACCCAATTTCCTTAGCTGCGTAACCCAAAGAGGAAGAGGTCAGAACTGTAGTGATTTCCACTGTTCTGCGCCGGGAAGACCCATCGAGATTCCGACGCGGGTCGGGGCAGCGTGAGCTCTTTTCGCATCCTGCCAGCAGGCGGCGCTGTGGGAGCCAAGCTCACCCTGCAGCTACGCGCGGGAGAGGCAGTGTTTCCAGGAAGCCCCGCGTGTCTCCACGGCAACGGCGCCAGGGGCGGGTCCAGGGGAGCAGGCCCCGCCCACAACGCGGCCTCCGCTTTCAGAACTTCTCGGCTGCGGTTTGAGTGACTCRGAGTTCCCAGGCTCCACACCGGTCTTGGGCCCTCGATGGACCCTCGCAGGAGGGCTCAGGCAATGCAGAGTCTTCAGGTGCTACCAGGTGCCAGGGCGGGGTCATCAGCGGGGGAAGGACTGAGAATTGAGCAGAGAAATGCGAATTACAGTTTGATCTTATTAAATTAAGCCCTGGACTGATCAGCTAGGTAAGCCAAGACACTTCATGATCCCTTGTCACCTGTCCAATAGTGGATCTGTCTGTTGCAAGTGAATCTTGTGGTCTAATTGTATTAGCGATGTTACTGGAAGCTGCCGGTATTATTTTTAATTTTTTAATGTGTATATATATATATATATATATATATATATATATATGGTGTAGACGGACTCAGTACCTTTATTTTATTTATTTGTTTTTACGCGTTATTGAGGACCAAGCCCAGGGTCTCTCGCGCGAGAGGCGAGCGCTGTTCCTCCGAGCCACAATTCTAGCCCAAGGCTGCCGTTTTTTAAGGGAAAAAAAGTTCTTGTGGAAAACTAGATATTTTACAATGGCTAAGGTCACCGTCACTGGTTCACTTTGGGGTTCACGTTAGAGTTATTCTTTAATCTGGTTAACAATCAGTCATGAATAACTGGATACTTCTTTTAAGTTCCAGGGAAGCAAAACAACAGTAAGCCCAAATTTGGGTGGTTATCAAAGACAGGGCTGCTCTAGAAAGTTCATAGAAAAAGGATATGCGGTATTTTCAACGACTACCCAAAGAGCTGATGTGAAGGACCTGCACTGCCAAGAGCCTCAAACTCCTTTCTAAAGCACACAGCCTCAGGGCTCTGCCCATCTCCTGGCTCTTCAGTGTGGGGACCCTACTCCTGCTCTGTGAAGCAAGTTCCTGGGTGAAGAGCCAACCAATGGAACCGCAGGAAAGCCACTCTGTGAGTATCCAGAGGGCTATCAGAAGCCCAGGGAGCCCTCAGATCTCCAGGGCCTTGAGCCCTGGAGGAGGGAAAGCTCTTCCCCTGTAGCTGCTGTAGGCAGGACTTTCGCTCTGGTTATCTTTGGAATCCTTGGCTCATGACTCCTGGTCAAGTGTGACAGCAGCTTCCCCAGAAAAGAAGTCTAGCTAACCCCCAGTCTGCCTACAGACAGAAGCCCTTCAGAACCCTGAATGTGACAAAAGCTGTCTGAGGAGTGCCAGTGTGGACACTGGGGAGAGAGCCATTCCCCCACTGAGGGAGTCAAAACTTAGGACCCACATGCATCTGCACAGTGGGGTGGAGCTGTTCACATGCTCTGAGTGCAAGAGGAACTCCATACTTATTCAGTCACCAGCATGGGCACAGAGGGAAAAGACCTTTTCCATGTTCAGAATGTGGCCACTTTGCTTCCAGGCTTCCTCCACACCTACACAGTGAAGAGAGAGTGTTCTCCTGCAGTGACTGTGAGAAAAACCCCTGAGATCTCAGCTGTCACCCACTTCCCTCTGTACACAGGTTCCCAGAACATGATAAGAGTTTACTGCAAGCTGACATCAAAGTCCATGTATCCATATCCCCAAGAGGTCTTTTTCTTACCCACAGTCTGAGCTCCCTGAGCCCCTCAGAGTGCATAGTGAAGTGAGGCCTTCCAGTGCCTAAGAGTAAAGAAGGAAGCTTCCCCAGCCCGAAGGTGGACCCAGTTGTCCACCAGGGTCTACACAGAGGGCAGAGACCCTTATAGTGTCCCAGTGTGGCCAGGCACACCACCCAAGCTACCATGTTGTTTTCTCCCACTGCTCTCTGTTCTTTACAGAGAGTCCTCCTGGTCACTGTTGTGGTTTTACTCTTTTTTGGTGGGTGGGATGGGGTGGTATACCAGGGATTAAACTCGGGGGCAGTTGGCCACTGAGCCACATTCCCAGCCATATTTATTTAGAGACAGGGTCTCACTGAATTGCTTAGCACCTCACTTTTGCTGATGCTGGTTTTGAASKTGTGATCCTCCTGCCTCAGCCTCCCAAGCCTTTGGGATTACAGGTGTGTTTCACCGTCCCCAGCTTGGTTTTACTCTTACTAGGCTTCTTGTAACTAGTTTTGACTGACCCATACCTTGGCATTTGAAGTGTATATTGGATTTTGGCAATAATGTTATGCATGGTTGTTGTCAGTAATAATCTGGAGATCAAATTAAACCTTCCCTGAAACTCAGGGAGCAGACTCTTTGTGTACTGTAAGGAAAAGCCCATGATTTACTTAATACTAAAATGATGGTCCCTAAAATCTCTTTGTTCCCTAAAGTTTCATATTCCTCCTCCTAATTCAGCACATTTTCCATGAGTTATTTTGCTAACAACATTCCACTGGCAATTCATACAGTGCAGACTGCAAATTCAGCTCCTGGCTACATATTTCTCCAGAGCTCCAAACCCACATTTCCACCTGCCTGCTATGTATTTACCTGGATGCCTCACAGGCCCAAACTGAAATCCTTCCTGCCTCACTCCTCCTGGTCTCTGCCTGCCAATAACTCTATGTCTGCATTCTCTGTCTCACTGAATGGACAGCACTCTCTGCTTTCTGACTCTTCATGGTCCTGCCCCACACATCTTTGTCCATCACCAATTTTCACATTTATTTCAACTCCTTACTGTCATTTCAGTCTGTCTAGTTTTCTTCATCCCCTCTCACCACCATCTGTCATCAGGATTAACATGAGACCACCCTTTAGCTAGTCCTCCTAACTCCAGCTGCTTCTAACTCCGYACAGCCCCAAATTGATCTGTATAAAATGCAGACATGATCTAGTCACTTCCTGGCTGCCTTCAGGGTACAGCTCTTCATTACCTGGCCTCATCTTCTCCAGTTGTGTTCCTTACTTCACCTCTTCTCACGCTATCTCAGCTGTCCTAAATAACCTGCCTTCCTCCAAATTCTCCATGTTCCAGTTTGTCACAGATTCCTGGGTGAGAAGCAGGAATTGGGAGTATTATTGTTTTTGTTCTTAGGGGGCAGGTACCAGGGATTGAACCTGGGGGAACTCGGCCACTGTGCCACATCTCCAGCCTTATTTTGTATTTTATTTAGAGACAGAATTTCACTGAGTTGCTGAGCGCCTCACTTTTGCTGAGGCTGGCTTTGAACTCACAATCCTCCTGCCTCAGCCTCCTGATCTGCTGGGATTACAGGAGTTTGCCACCACACTTGGCAGGATTGGGAGTTTTATAGCACAAAATGCCTATATCATAGAAGAAGGGCCACATGTCAGTGAAGAAACTAAGAGAGACAGGGAATATGAAGCCTAAAGTAAGCAGAAGAATTGGTTAGAGCTAAAAATCAATGAAATGAACAGCAGAAAAACTAAGTGAAATCAATGAAAATAACAGCTGGTTGTTTGAGAAGATCAATATAATTTACAAAGCCACAGCCATACTAAACATTAAAAAAGAGAGAAGAAATTATATCAGCAATAAGAGAGGTAACCTAACTACAGATTCTAGTTATTTAAAGTATGAGAAAAGACTATTGTCTTATTGTTCTTGTTGTCATGACAAAATACCTTAGACTGGGTAATTTACAAAGAACATTTTTTTTTTAACTTAAAGGAGGCAGAAATTTATTTATTACAATTCTGGAGGCTGGGAAGTCGAAGACCAAGATGCCTGGTGAGTATAAATAAAAAGAACAAAAAATATATATTCTTTTTTTTTTTTAAGTTGTAGCTGGACACAATATCTTTATTTTATTTATTTATTTTTATGAAGTGCTAAGGATCGAACCCAGGGCCTCACGCGTGCTAGAAGAGCGCTCTTCCGCCGAGCCACAATCCCAGCCCCCCAAAATATATATTCTTAACAAAGTGCCAAAAAAAAAAAAAAAAAAAAAAAGCCTGGTGAGCACCTTCTTGAGGCATCCTCACCTGGTAGAAACAGAAATGCAAAAAGATATGAACACTGTGTCCTTGCATGGCAGAAGAATGAACCCACTCTCTCAGTCCCTGACTATAAGGTTCCTGCTCCCTCCTGATCCATGAGGGTTCTGCTTTCATGACTTAATTGCCTCTCAATATTATCACATCGGTGATTAAGTTCCAACATAAAAATATTGGGGGACATATTCAGACCATAGCAAATATTCCTTTATGCCAATAAATTTGACAACTTACATGAAATGGGCAAATCTCCACTAACTTCCAAAGTTCACTCAAGAAGAAAAAGATACTCTGAATAGCTCTGAATCTATTAAAGAAATCAAACTTATAATTAAGATCTTTCCTACAAAGAAAATTTCACTAGAGAATTGTGCCAAACATTTAAGGAAGAAAAATGTGCAAATTCTACACAAACTCTTCCAGGAAATTGAAAATGAGAAAACACTTCCTAATTATGAGGCCAGCATTAATGTCTTTTGTGAATGTGAACATAGATGCAAAAACTCTCAATAAAATTTTTGTAAGTCAAGTCCAACAATATATAAAAATAATAATACATCATAACCAAGTGAGGTCTCAGGAATACAAAGGTCAAGCTTTTCAAAATCAATTAACATAATCCATATTAATGAACTAAAAAGGAAAAACATATGATCCATTTCTGTTTTAAAGAAAACTCTCAGTCCAGGCTCGGTGGCACATGCCTGGGGCTGGGGAAGTTGGAGCAGGAGGAGTTCAAAAAGCAAGGCTCTAAGCAACTCAATGAGACCCTGTCTCTAAAATACAAAAATAGGGCTGGGGATGTGGCTCAGTGGTCAAGTGCCCTTGAGAGTTCAATCCCTAAGACCCCCACCAAAAAAAAAAAAAAAGAAAGAAAGAAAAAAGAAACTCTTAGGAAACCAGGACTAGAAATTAATCTGATAAAAAGCATCTACTAAAAATGTACAGTCAGTATCATGTATAGTGGGAAAGGCGGAACAAGGCAAAATATAGCCACTCTCATCAATACTCTTCAACAACATTATAATACAGGTTTGGGACAGGAAATAAGGAAAGAAAAATAAAGGAATTCACAATGAAGAAGAAATAAACTATGTTTACAGATGACATGATTGATAGAGAACTAGAATCTACCAGTCAAATCTTTAGCAAAGCTACTGAAACCGATTGAGTTTAGCAATGCTTCATACAAGGTCAGTGTACAAAAATCAATGGCACTTCTGTTTTTTTTTTAATTTAATTTTTTTTTTAGTTGTAGATAGACACAATATCTTTATTTTATTTTTATGTGGTGCTGAGGATCGAACTCAGGGCGAGCACTCTATCGCTGAGCCACAACCCCAGCCCCGGCACTTCTGTTAAGTTGCAATGAGTAATTAAAATTTGACATTTAAAAAATTTTCCTGGGCTGGGGATGTGGCTTAAGTGGTAGCGCGCTCGCCTGGCATGTGTGCGGCCTGGGTTCGATCCTCAGCACCACATACCAACAAAGATGTTGTGTCCGC